AAGATCATGGTGGAGGAGGCAAAGGTTGTGGAGGAGACAAAGGTGGTGGAGGAGGCAAAGGTGGAGATGGTGGCAAAGGTGGTGGAGGAGACAGAAATCGGTCCACTACATCCGAGCCGCGTGGCCACCTCTTGAGGGAGAACAGGCAGATGAAGGCCGGATCTGGGAGAACCTTTTTTGTTTATAGAAAGGTTGATCTTTTTTAAAATGTTGGGTCCGTTATTTTAAACTTAGGACTTATGGTAACTCTAAACCCGGGCAGGCGCAGAAAGATGCGGAGATCTTGCGCCTGACAGAGCAGCTCTCCACTTCCGAGGCATTGTCCGAGCATTAAATTCCGGGTAAGGCTTCTGATTCTGGGGATCGAGGTTTATTAAATAAATAGAAAACTAAATGTAAAGGTAGGTGATTTGGTTCACTACTGGCCTGCCAGGAGCAGCTGAGGCAGCAGCAGCTGTTCTCGACGTCGCTGACGGGGGATCTGGCCACTGTCAATGCCCAGCTGGAGCAGGAGAAGGCTGCTTATTGCCGAAATAGATAAGGGTTCAATCATCTAGGTTTTATATGAGCTTCCCTGAGGCATCGGTGAAGGACTTCACGGCAAAGCTCAGGGCTGAGGAGGCTTGTTCGGGTGACAAAAAATATAGTTGGTCGATGCTGTAACGGGTGGCATGCCTTGGTGAAAATATTAAGATGTCCCTGAAGGAGGAGAAGGCTAGCCTGAAGCGCCAGCTGGATGATCGCGATCGCGAGTTTGCTGCGCTGCAACACGAAGCCCGCCTCAACTTGCAGAAGGCTGGACTGGGGCACGAAATATATCAAGTTTGCTTGGAACCTTAAACTAAAGTTCGTTTGGAAGCCTATTTCTTCCCTTTCCAGAGGCAAACTCCTCGGAAGCCATGGTGCAGTCGCTTTTGAACTCGGATCCGCGGAAGACCATCCAGCGACTGCACAAGGACTCTGCGGAAAATTTTTATTCTTCCTTCGTTCATGATTCATGCTGCTAACCATGGCCCTAAGCTCGAATTCCAACAAAACTGACACTTCAGGAAGCGAGCGAGGAGAACTTCAAGCTCCACGAAGACGCTCGCACGGCACAGCGGCTGCGAGCCAAGCTGCAGAAGAGGATTGGGGATCTGGAGAGCTGCCTTAGGGCGCACAGCATCCGGCTGCCAGAGGCAGACTAGGGGCTGAGCACTGTCACTGTTTCCACTGAGTAGGTAACCTTTAACCTATAATCCTACTATAATTCTTCAGGTTAACCTTTTTTGCTGAAATACTCAGCCCCTAGGATCTAGCCTCATTGTCAGTGCCCCAACAGAGGCAGCCTGGCTCGCTGTGAAGAAAAGAGAGGGCTGCAAACCGTAACCCAAAACCCAAAACCCTAAACCCCAAACCCAAAAAAAACACCAAACCCTTTTTGCAACAGGCTTTCCACTTCGCCCAAACACCAAACCCTAAACCATAAACCGTAACCCAAAACCCTAAACCTAAACTCCCAAGCTGAAGTGAACCCGGGACCCGAGCCCGTGGGGTTTCATTGCACCAAAACCCTAAACCCTAAACTCTGTAAGCCCTAAGCCCACCCTAAACCTTAAACCATATAATAAACCAAGCCTCGCTTTCCCGACCTGTGATAGCATAAATCATATAAAAATAAGGTGGGTCTGGGTGACCATTCTTTCAGGGGTTGGGTTCCACAGAGATCCATTGCAACCGCGCCCAGGTATTCCAGATTCCGCGGCCGAACTTGGCATGATGCTTCTCGGCTGTATCAAGTACGGAGTCTAAATAATACATTGATATATGGGATATAATTTCTGGGTGATCTGACTGAGTGTACCGTCCTTCCATCAGCATGCATGTCATGTATGACCAATTAGGAACATGCCGACACGTCACTAGGAAGCGTTTAACTGCTAGCTCTCTTCCCTGTGTTTCCCGATGCTGTTGCCCGATAGTGGGACTGCATACTGTATCTAAGAATCTGCCCGCCTTGAGGTGCCCTGTGCCTGGCGGATGAGACCTCCCAGTTGCTGTGCGGTGCTTACACTGTCCCGCTCCCCGGGGATCGCTGTCCCTGCACGCTTCCGATGCTCTTCTTGACAAAGGCCGGTCCTTCTTCGATGCCAAGGCTAGGTTTCGAAAGCCG